TGCAGAGCAAAGCCCAACTCTTATCCAGCTCAGGAAGCATCTGATGTTATTAAGACAACCATGATAATATGGCTGCTCATGCAAAGAAAAGGTGTTAAGCCTTAGGAGACAGATTTTTGGCCAGATAAATTCCTAGAAGGTGATCTGATAGAAGTACAGAATTTACAGGGAAGTTTACAGACCAAGATTGAAAGCACGAAGCCTGAGCAGAAGGCAGCTGAATTCAAAAGAGATGTTCCAGCAAGGACTTAATGAACACGAAGCACAGTCTATGAGGGGTACAGCAATATGGGGAACTCTGGAGGTGGGCAGAGGAAGCTCAGATGGAAATCGAGACAATATGCCAGAAGGATCAGGACATGAGGGGGTGCTCGGAAACGGTGTTCAGACATGATTTCTCCATTTGTGCCAGTCATCTTTTTAAATAGCAGTTTTCACACATGCTTCCAACATCCACAAATAAATCTTTTTTTCTAACACCTCATGCCAAATTTTGACTGGCAAGAATTACTGTTTGTGCACAGTTACAAAATCAAAATACAACAAACTACAGGGAGTATGTAGTGGCAGCAGGGGAAGTTTGAGTTGTCAGAAAGCCACGTTTTCCAATTTTTGCAAAAGAGAAGCAGTGCTTAGGGAACTTTCATCTTGATTCTTTCAGTCTTCCACATGTAAGACAAAGCTGCTAGAATTGTTAAGACTGGTGGGGCCAATTCAGCAACGAAGGACACACTGTTTTGCAAAGGCAACCCACTTTTATCCTCCTCTCTCAATGAGGCATTTTGATTTTTGTTGCCTAAGAAGGAAGATTTTTTTTTTGCTTAGACAACCTATGTGTGTCCTCTACTCCAATGCTATGCTTTACTGTCAGTGTGAGGAGCACGTTCACCCCTTGCAGGGCTGCTTTGCTGCTGTGCCCCAGGCCCGGGTGCTGCTAAGAGCTGCAAACCATGACAGCGGGCATCTTTGCTTGGGAGCTGCTTTGATCCAAGGCTCTCATGCCCCATCCCCATAGCTGTGCTGTGCTGCTTTACCACCACAGACATGTCACTGCCTGGCCACAGGCCTGGTTGATCCACGGCTGAACCCTGACCCACCCTCCCTTCCCACAAAAAAAAATGAGCGAACACACAAGGGATGATGAAAGGTAGCATAGAATCCCATATGGGCTACTCCGCTGGCACTAACACAGCATACCTGCCTAATGACAGCTAACCAAGGCATGCTTGTGTGTACTCATATGCTAATACTTCCGCTATCACTATAAACAAGCCTATGAATAGATGTAGATTTATTTCCTTTGCCGCCTTCTTTTTCAGAATTACTCCCGCTCACTCTGTCAGGCACCTAACTGAAATACATTTACGGGAAAATCCCCAATTTGAAATTATTATGACAAAAGTACCACAAGCACTGTAACAGCCAAATAGCAAATTCTGGCACATTCCATCAACATGCCCTAAACCGTTAATTTGCCAGCCATAATTTCATAGAGAAATTATGAAAATTAGGATTTTTAATTTTCAAATTAAAAAGAGACAAAATAGATTATTTAATATAAACATACAAAGTCCATATATTATTTTCCGTTTTATTGTGAGGCACTAGAACAGGTTGCCTAGAGAGGTTGTGGATGCCCCCCCACTGGGAGTGTTTGAGGGCAGGGTGG